CAGCTCTAACTACGGCCAATGGTCGAATCTCGGATCCAGGAGGAGCAGTTTGGTTTTCGTCCCGGTCGTGGAACACTGGACCAGCTCTATACTCTCCATCGGATACTCGAGGGTTCATGGGAGTTCGCCCAATCTGTCCACATGTGCTTTTTGTATTTGAAGGCGGCGTTCGACCGTGTTCCCCGGGGTGTCCATTGGGGGGTCCTCTGCTGAGAGCCGTCCGGTCCCTGTATGACCGGAGCCAGAGCTGCATTTGCATCAGCAGTAAGTCAGACCTGTTCCCGGTGCATATTGGCCTCCGCCAGGGCTGCCCTTTGTCACCGGTTCTGTTCACTGTATTTATGGACAGAATTTCTAGGCACAGCCAGGGGCCGGAGGGGGTCCGGTTCGGGGACCACAGGATTTCGTCTCTGATGTTTGCAGACGATGTTGTCCTGTTGGCTCCAACGAACCAGGACCTGCAACATGCACTGGGACAGTTTACAGCAGAGTGTGAAGCAGCTGGGATGAGAATCAGCACCTCCAAATCTGAGGCGATCGTGCTCGACCAGAAAAAAGGTGCCTTGCCCTCTCCAGGTCCTGGTCCTCTCCAGGTCCTCTCCAGGTCCTGGTCCTCTCCAGGTCCTGGTCCTCTCCAGGTCCTGGTCCTCTCCAGGTCCTGGTCCTCTCCAGGTCCTGGTCCTCTCCAGGTCCTGGTCCTCTCCAGGTCCTGGTCCTCTCCAGGTGGTGATGCTGGTCGCTGCATCGGACCGTTGTGGTGAAGAGGGAGCAGCGTCTGCAGTCAGAGCTGTATTGGACCGTTGTGGTGAAGAGGGAGTTGAGCCGAGAGACAAAGATGTCGATTTACTGGTCAATCTTTGTTCCCTCCTTCACCAATGGTCATGAGCTTTGGGTAATGACCGAAAAGAATGAGATGGCGGATACAAGCGGTGGAAATGAGCTTCCTCCACAGAATAGAGCCGCTGCTCTCTTATAGACAGAGAAGCTCAGTCATACGGGAGGAGCTCTGAGTAGAGCCGCTGAAATCAACTGAGGTGGCTCATCTGTTCCGGATGCCTCCTGGACGAGCTGGAGGAAATGTGTGTGGATAGGGAAGTCTGGGCGTCTCTGCTTATGGTGCTTTCAGACCGGATCATGCGTTGCGTCGGCTTTCAATGCAAAGTCTATGGTGACGAGCGTTTGAGCGTCACAACGCACGGACCTCTCGGCACGCACGCACGGACTGTTCAGTAGAGACGCACTGACTTGGCGGGAAAGTGAAACGGGAGGAGCAGGAGCAAAAAATCGACGCCCACAGGAGAAATTCTGCTCATCCTTTCCTTGGGACGTTCGTGCAGCGACCAATCAGAGAGCCGCAAAGTGGTCACAGGGACATGAGTGGACTGAGCGAGCAGACTGAAAATACTCGTAAACAGCCAAAACAGGACCCACACCAGGCTTCACCAGAACTCAAACCAGGGTTGACAATGGGGGACTGTGTGCTTGTGAATATATGTGTTGTCATGCTCCTGTGACCTTATGCAACTGCTTCGAGTGTGTTTGCCGATGCGGAAATACCGTTTAATAATATGAAAAAAAACGTATGCCGCACCTCCGTGAACACATACTACTGTTATATAAAGCCCGTGGAAGGTCTCTGAGCAAAGACACGCTGCAAAGCTCGACTTCACACCGAGAGGACATCTCGGTGTGAAGTCCTCTGAGTCTGAAAACTAGAGAATGCGCGTCTGGTGAGCGGGGCTTCAGCGTTTCAGCGTTGGCGGTCTGAAAGCACCATTAGACTGCTGCCCCCTGCGACCCGGCAACGGATGAAGCGGAAGAAAATTGATGGATTGGAATGGAAACAGCTGTGTAACATGGTTAAAAACAAAGTGTTCAAAGACAAACCTCTGTAGCAGCGTCTGCTCTGTTGTAGGCCAGCTGCCGCTCCACTTTCTGCTCCTCCTTCTGCTTCAACACTTCTATTTCATGGGCTTCTTTCAGCAACAACTGCAGTGAGGAAAGTTTAAAAGAGCACACACTACGATTATGAATGGATTTAAGAATGACACGTGTTGTAACACACACACGTGTTGTAACACACACACGTGTTGTAACACACACACGTGTTGTAACACACACACGTGTTGTAACACACACACGTGTTGTAACACACACACGTGTTGTAACACACACGTGTTGTAACACACGTTGCTGATATGACCTGATGTGCGTAGAAGTCCGGGTTGTAGGATCCTCCAGCAGCGATGACCTCCACCGCCGGCAGCTCCGAGGGTTTGGTGTTTAACTTCTCTGGACGCTAAAGAAACAAAGGTCACAGACCACAGACACCGACGTCACAGACCAAAGACACCGACGTCACAGACCACACACACTGAAGTCACAGTCCAAAGACACTGACGTCACAGTCCAAAGACACTGACGTCACAGACCAAAGACACTGACGTCACAGACCAAACACACTGACGTCACAGACACTTACTTTGATCTGGGTCTTCTTGGTCTGTTGAAGGAACCAGGGGTCTGCAGTCTCTTCAACTGTAAACAAGTTACATGAGCTTTAAGGATCAAAGGGACTGGAACTTCTAAGTTCTACTTTTCCTCTGTTCTTCATGACAGTCTAAAACACAAATAGCATCAACCGTTTTAGAAAGTGATCCCGAGGGGCTGCGACACCATGATGCTATTTATGACCATGAATCTCCTCAAAACACATCAATAACTGGTTCAGAAATAAACAATCACAGGGACTGTTTCATTTAAGTATTTAAACCGACTACATTTGACACTTATAAAACGCGTTTCTTTCCAGAAGCCAGAAGATTACTAAACTTTGTTATTATTCTGTTATTGTGTGTTCTGAAGACTGTGTGTGTGACAATATTAAACTGAAGTAACTAAAGTATCCACCGAGAGGGAGATCAAAGGTGTTGGAGAAAAGGGACTTAGGGTTAACTTCTTTTTAGTGACATCTGGACTTCACTTTGATCTGCTCTGTCCCAGAAACAGTTGATTGTAAACAATTGAACTCAACCCCAAACAGCTCTAGTTTTGTGGCGTTAAGTTTTTGATGGAAACAGGACATAGTGAAAGGCCAAACATACATGATTTGAGTCATGTGTGACTAAGCTAACATACATGATGTGTGTCACACATGACAAAGCTAACATGCATGATGTGAGTCAGACACAAGCCCCAGCAATCCAAGATGGCGTCCTATTCAAATGAATGGTTGTGCTCAGTGGCGCTTTGTGACGGCATGGGGGCTGAAAGATTAGCGGAAGTCGCAAAGATCTATGGGAAACTCGCCTGTATTTGGGCATCGTCTGGTCCTCCCGGTTCTGCGCAGTGGATGATCTCCCATAATGCGTTGCGCCAAACACGCGTGTGTGGGTCTCACACCGGGTCTTACGCACGTGCAGAGAGGGGCTCGGCTGCGCTCTGACCAATCAGAGCGGGAGTTAGAGCGAGAGCCAGACGAGCAGAGTTTGTGGCACTAAAGTGTGGATTTAAACAAAACCGAAGGATTTAAGAAAAAAAGTTCAGGATGACAAGGGACACTAAAATCCCCACAAAATCCGACCTTTATGAAAGCTGTAGGTTCTCTGTCAGCTGAGGTCGCGCCGTTTTAATATGCATCGAGTACTATGGGGAAGATTTCTGAGTAGCCCACGTGAATTTAGTCTGGTTCAGTCTGCAGTACCGCGAGAATCCCCCGAGCACCTGAGTTATTCAGCTACAAGCTTGTAATACCTTATCCAGTTATTATAATACAGTGCCTTGCGAAAGTATTCGGCCCCCTTCAACCTTTCGCCACTTTTCAGGCTTCAAAACATAAAGATATTTAAAAAAAAATTGTCATGAATCAACAACAAGTGGGACACAATCGTGAAGTGGAACAACATTTATTGGATAAACTTTTTTAACAAATAAAACGCTGAAAAGTGGGGCGTGCAATATTATTTGGTTTAGTGAGGATATTTGAATGATCCAATGTCCTAAAGACTGATGATGATAAATAGAATGCACCTTTGTATCCAAATCCGGCTTTAAACTCAGTATCTCGGACCTGCCTGGTGTGTTCCTTTGTCTTCATGGTTCTCTCTGCGCTTTAAACAGAACCCTGAGACTATCAAAGAGCAGGTGCATTTATACGGAGACTTGATCACACACAGGTGCATTCTATTTATCATCAGTCATTTAGGACAACATTGGATCATTCAAAGATCATCAATGAACTTCTGGAGTGAGTTTGCTGCACTGAAAGTAAAGGGGCCGAATATTGCACGCCCCACTTTTCAGTTTATTTGTTAAAAAAGTTTAAATTATCCAATGAATTTTGTTCCACTTCACGATTGTGTCCCACTTGTTGTTGATTCATGACAAAAAATTAAAATTTTATATCTTGATGTTTGAAGCCTGAAATGTGGCGAAATGTTGAAAGGTTCAAGGGGGCCAAATACTTTCGCAAGAGACTGTAGATCCATGGTCAGACATGACAAAGCAAACATACATGTGAGTCAGACATGACAAAGCTAACATACATGATGCGAGTCATGTGTGACAAAGCTAACATACATTATGAGAGTCCATCCATCCATCCATTTTCTACCCTTTAATCCATTTCTGGGTCAGGGGGGTGGATGCCCCTCACTGATCCTCTGCAGGTGGTGAGTCCACAGGAGGACGGCTGCTCTGAGTGTGAGCATAGCCTTGATCTTTCAGTGGGGGCTTTGGGCAAAGTGGGGTTAAGTGTCTTGCCCAAGGACACAACGACAGCAGTCATCAGTGGGAGTCGGTGGAGAAGGTGTAGAGGAACCCACTACCTTCAGGCCTGAAGGCCAATGCTCTACCAACTGAGCTACTGTCGCCCATTATGAGACTCATGTATGACATAAGTCCACATACTTGCTTGTCCCCATATGTCGTAGTAGTCTCTGTGGGGGTTGTTGTTGGCTTCTGCCTTTTTGGTGGTTGTTGGTTCAAGTCTTCTGCTCAGCCTCTGTCTCCGTGGCACCGCAGCTTTAGCCGCTAAGTGAGCGCTGCGCCGGAGTTTCTTGGCGTTGGGCTGTTGGAAGGACAAGATACTGAGGAACAAATAGCATATGTTAAGACCACAAACTTAAGAACGGGTTAGATAATCACTCACTCTTTAGGGGGAAGGACCAGGGAGTCGTGTTTCAGGATCAGGTCTATCCTAAGGGGTCGAGAACCTTTGGCTTTCTTTTTCTTTCCTTCCTCCAACTCTGGAAAACACATTCATTACATTCAGCTGCATCTGTAGTACACAGCTGTAAAAGGACACCTATAGTACACACCTGTAGTACACACCTGTAGTACACACCTGTAAAAGGACAGCTGTAGTACACAGCTGTAAAAGGACACCCTCATCCACCACAGTATTTAAAGATGGTGCATTGACCAGGGGTTAAAGCAAAAAAAAAAGATTTGACTGAAAATTTTCGCATGGAAATTTATCACATCGACGCCTTCTTAAACTAATCGCCTAAGTGACATTTTGCCAAAAAATATTTTTTTGCCTAAATCAGCGCCTCTTGACGCTGGGCACCTCTGGTAAAAACGCCTAAGGCCTCTGTTGAGGAGATCGTGCTTTAAAACCCTGTTGTTACTTAGGCCGTAATATAAACCATGACAAGAGCGTGACTTAGGCAAAATAATTCGGCCTAAGTCCAAAGTCAATGTGACTTAGGCAATTTTACAAACTGTCAAAATCAAAATGGAGACTGCTTCAAGACAAATGTTCTCAGTCACTGAAGTGATTTCCATGATTCATGGCTCATCTCCTGTTGGTAAGTGATTATGATGACTACATTAAAGGCTAGGCTTTAAATATTGCAAATATTTAGTAATTTAATTTCAATTTAAAGTCAGAATTGTTGATAGTAAAGTAGCTGTACAAGCTAGCAGTTAGCAAGCACCTGGAAGGGTCCAGAACTGTGGAGGACATTGAGTGCCACGTTAAGTGATGTTAAGCATGAAGTAAATTAGTTTAGTAAAAGACTTTTGAAAAGTGAATTTAGTAAAGAATGACTTTATGTATTTACAAATAATTTTGGAAAAACATGTTGTAATCTGTATTAGCTCCTCTGATGAGCATCTGCTGTTCACGTCTCCTTGTAAACCAAGGGTGGGCTATTTCATCCAGGGGGCCGATCCTGAGAAAACAGTATCTTGGAGTTTTCAGATGGTTACCACTTAATTTCATTTTGGAAAAAAACTGTTGCAAAATTATGTATCTTAATAACATAGAGAAAGTTACATCAATTATAAACAAAATATTTAATGACAAGAATGAGAAAGACTTATAGTTCTGTCAGCGTACATCTACTCGTGAATGCCAAGGTATCACAGAAGAGCAGAGGCAGTGGATATTTCAGAAGATATGGGCAATGGAGTCCTGGAAAGAACGTCAGTTATATTATATTATATACTTTAGTCAAAAAGGTTGACATCAAGCGAAAGAAAGTTGTTGAGGCATCCCGACGAAGGTGCTCACTGTCCTTTCAACTGAAGCCACAAGATGGAACGAGTCTCAAAGTGTGCAAATCACTTTTTTCCTCTACACTTGGTGTCCCAGAAAGAACCATTACAGAATGGCTTAACAAATAAACAATTGACAATGATGAAGAAATGGAAGCGCAGCCATCTAAATATGGACCTAAGAGTGGCAAGCATTCAAAACTTAAAACAGACGACGTGGATTTCCTTTCCAAGTGGTTGAGGGACCTGCCCACTGTCCCTTCACACTACTGCAGAAGCACAAACACCTACAAAAGATAAGAAGTTCCTTCACCCAGGCACAACCATATCCCAACTACATCGGGAATATGAAGAAATGGCTACAGCTGCTGGAGTAAGGAGCGTTGGATTAGGGTATTTTAGTAATGTGTTCCACAAAGAGAACTATTCTGTATTCATTCCACGGAAAGACCAGTGTGATGTTTGTGTTTCATTCGAGCACAATAACATAAGCCAGGCTGAATAGGATGCACATATCATTAAGAAAGATGAAGCAAGGCAAGAGAAGTCCAGAGACAAGGAGTCGGCAAATAATGAGAAGTCAGTTTGGTCAATGGATATGCAAGCTGTGCTGCTGTGTCCAAGAACCCAAGCGAGCAGCCTGTATTACAAAACAAAACTGCAGGTCCATAACTTTACCCTCTTCAACATGAGATCAAAGGAAGGGTACTGCTACCTCAGGGACGAAACAGAGGCTGACCTTAGTAGTGAGGTATTTGCCTACATCCAATACTCCCATTTTGAAGGTGTGATCCAAGACCATCCAGAACTCAAGGAGATAATAATATGGAGTGATGGTTGTGGTTATCAGAACCGCAATACATGTTTGTCAAATGCATTATCTGAGCTTGCAAGGAAACATGGGGTATTAATAACTCAAAAATACCTTGTTGCCGGGCACACACAGATGGAGTGCGATAGCATGCATAGTACGATTGAACGCAAAATCGTCACAGATATCTTCACCCCGAGAGACTATGTTGTGATACTTCAGACTGCAAGAATCAAGCCATCACCATACCATCTCAAGCATTATGCATTCCTGAAAATGAATGGATCTTACTTCAATAGTATCAGACCAGGCAAAAAAGCTGGTGATCCAACTGTGCATGACTTGCGGGCTCTTCAGTTTGGCAGTGAAGGTACGGTGCATTTCAAACTGTCCTTCTCAGAGGACTCTGTGTGGGAAGCACTGCCACAGAGGATGCAGGTACAAAATGAGCCGATGTCATGGATTAGAATGTTTCCAAGTGCTCTGCCAATCAAGGAGAGAAAGTTGCACTTCGATCAACTGCAAATGATTTAAATAAATCTACCAGCGGTAGTGATATTCTGAACGTTATTTTCTGCGATAAAGCCACAGACACGGTCTGCCATAGCAAGCCTAGTGTTAGTTGTTGCTGATGCACCAGATGAAGTGTGGGAAAGTACACAAACAGCTGCCTTGTGCGCAGTTTTGAGCTGGTGGCGAATCAAAACTTTTTTCTCATTACTCCCATACATGCAATTTTTTATGGCAAAGTACGCACAAGCACCGGCCACTTTCATCTTTTCGCACCATGACTCATTGATTGGCTCTTTTACATCACGCTGAGTTTTGCAAGAAGATCGCAAACAAGACAATATCAAAAGCGCACCAAGACATGTTTGTCCCCATTCCCAGTCGCAGCAAAGTCCGTTTTGTACATTCCGTTAAGTAAAATAGCATTGCGTTTGGTAAACGTTAATTACCTTTCCTCTATTACGCGCCCAGCTTACCAGTCCGCGGATCTGCTGCTGTTATTGCTCCGTTCGAGATTCAATTTTCCTCCTCTTCTCCTTTTCAAAAGCTCCGTGCAGTTTCCAGAAACTTTCACCTCCGTGTTACCAATGCTAACTTCATCGCGTCTTCATTTGCGCGTGAGCTCAGCTACGTCCCATTGCCTTGATTCATTTGCGGAGCGCTCATGTGGCCACGGCACGTTCAAGGCCCACTCGTGATTATATTACTTATTATTTCTATATACATATAAATACAATTATATTCAAATTATTATTATACATCGATATATATATATATATATATATATATATATATATATATATAAGATTCACACGTATATGTATTACTATATATTATTTTTATAATCAATCATTTTTATAATCAATCATTTCATTGTGTGTATTATTATCATTATATATTATTATCATAATATATTTTTTTCTAGACCAATTTCATTTGACGGAAATCCGTCGCCTATTTATTTATTTATTAGTTTATTTGACAGGGACAGTGTACATTAATGAACATTACTGTAAATGTACCAGAATTAGCCACAAGGCTATTTTCCATCCGTTGTCCCTGGACAGATTTAAAATGTCAACCTAAAAGCAAACACAACACTTGTATACAAAACAACAATGATAAAAACAGTGTACATTTACCATATATACAATTAGTTAAAAGTTAGTGTTGACAGGACTGTTTTGTAATGAACCACGATTTGAGATGAGTTTTGAACAGATTGTATGAGGCCAGTTCTCTGATGTTTGATGGGACTGTGTTCCACTCCTGAGACGCCCTCACAGAGAAGGCACTCTGGCTGAAGGCGCTCTTCCGGAGTGGGATAACACAGTCCCCACGGGCGGCCCCCCTGGTTACCCTGTGTGTGGTGTTCCTGACTGTGATAAATTGATTGAGAGGAGGTGAAGATGAACCATGAATGATCTTGTAAATGAGACAGAGATTAGAGTATTTGATGACATTTGTCCAATTTAGAAGATGGTGTTTTTGTAAAATGGAACAGTGGTGAAATCTTTGTGGTTTTTTTGTCCAGTATCTTGAGTGTTTGCTTGTATAAGGATTCTATTGGTTTTAGGGATGTTTTGTTTGCCTGTGACCATGTGGTTAAGCAGTATGTAATGTGAGACAGAACCATAGAAAACATGAATAATCTTGCGGACTGAAGTGATAAGTTGGATCTGATGAACCGGAAATTAGCTAGGTTGAATTTGACTTTATTGGAAATGTTTTTTATGTGGGATTTGAATGTCAGCTTTGAGTCTATTGTTACTCCCAGATATTTGTATTCTGTCACGATTTGAATTTTTTGACCGGAAACTGAGATATTGATGTTATCATATGAGGTGTTGGATTTTGAGAAGAACATACCAACCGTTTTATTGACATTGAGCTTTAGGCAGCACTGATTTAACCAATTTGTGACATGAACCATAGACTGTGATAGTTTGTCGGCAGCTTGTGTGGGGTTTTTGGCGTGTATGTAAATTACTGTATCATCTGCGTACATTTGAACATTTGCATGCGGGCACACTGATGGAAGGTCGTTGATGTAAAGTGAAAAGAGTAGTGGGCCTAAAACGGAACCTTGTGGGACACCGGTGGACACTGGGAGAAAGGGGGAGCAGTGACTATTGATCCTGACAGACTGTACGCGATCTGATAGATATGACTTTGTCCATTTTATTGTACTTTGTGAAAAATTGAATTTGCTGAGCTTTGAGATGAGTATTTCATGATTTACAGTGTCAAACGCTTTTTTGAGGTCAAGAAACACTGCTCCTGCAACTCCATTTTTATCCAGTAATTTTTTTACATTTTCTATGAGGTAAACATTTGCTGTTTCTGTGGAATGTTGCGCCCTGAAACCGAATTGCATTGGATGAAGGGAGAATTGTGTTGTGTTTAGATGGGTAGCTATTTGTTGAGCAATGAGCTTTTCTGCAATCTTGGAAACTGTTGGGAGAATACTTATTGGCCTATAATTGCACAGAGACATAGGATCACCAGATTTATGGATTGGGATGACGGCAGCTTTTTTCCAGATAGTAGGAAACTGATTCTGGGATATAGAATAGTTTATCATTTTAGTTATGGGTGGGATGAATACAGTGCTGAGTTCTTTTACCATAAATGAATCCATGCCAAAAATATCTTTAGTTCTTGATGATTTAAGTGACCCTATCATCTGTCCAACTTCAGCCTCTGTCACATCAACAAAGGCGAAGGATGGTTCCAAGGTGTTCGTTGGATAAACAGTCATCTTGGTTGAGGGGAAAGATCCAGCGATCGCGGATACAGACTCGGAGAAAAAAACATTTGTTGCCTCAGCAATTATAAGTGGGTTTTTTAACACTTGTCCATTCACCCTAATTTCTGAAAGTGTTTTCCTTTTAGCGTCCTGTCCTACTAATTTCTTCAGATGATTCCAAATAATTTTAGAGTTCCCTTTAGCATTTTCTATTATGGTTAGGAAGAAATTAGCTTTGGCCCTACGTATACGATATACAACTTTATTTCGCAACGATGTGAACAGCTTTCTAGCAGTATTTGTCTTATTTTTCATTGCTTTTTTAAGTGCAAAATCTCTTTCCTTCATCAGTTTTAAAATATCCTGATCCATCCAAGGTAATTGATTTTTATTTTGTTTCCTATTGATTTTAGCACTGTGTTCCTTAATTAATTGCTCTATAGTTTTTAAGAATGATTTACTGTCTTCATCAATGTCTTTACCCTGCAGTAGTTGATCCCAGTTAGTTTGTTGAATCGAGTTTCTGAACATTTCCTGCATGTTTTTGGGAATTCCCACATATTCATTGTCACTGCTATATGAGTGAAATCTCTGATTTGAGAGCTTTCTGGTCACAAGAATCAGATTGTGGTCAGACAGACCAGATACAAAATTAAAGGATTTCATTATTCTTTCAGGTCGGTTTGTGAATGCTAAATCAATTTGCGTACTACTTATTGAGGTTATTCTTGTAGGTCCTTTCACCATTTGGGAAAATTCAAATTTGTCCATTATTCTTTTGAGATTTTTCCTACATGATGCGTCTTCCCAGTTTATATTAAAATCTCCTAAAATTATGATCTCCTTGCTTAGGTCACATTCTTTAAGTATTTTAGCAAATTTTTCATAGAAGCTTGCGTCAGATGACGGTGGCCGATACATAACAATAATCATGAATGTCATTTCTGGTGAAAGTATTATCTTCAGACCTAGGCATTCCAGCCCATCCACCCATTGAACAACATCACATTTGAAATGTTGTTTTAAGTATATCATAACTCCACCGCCCTTGGCTCCTTCTCTGTCTTTCCTGAACAGTTTGTATCCTGGGATATTAAGTGCTGCAGAAGGGGAATTTTTATGTAGCCATGATTCCGATAAGCAAAGGTAGTCTAGGTTAGATTTGAGTAACAAGTGACTGATTTGATCAGATTTCGATAAAACGCTTCTTATGTTTATATGTCCGCCTAAAATTCCTTTGGGTTTTGACTTCGGGTCCCAGATGAGTTTAGAATGATTGACAGTTTGAAAAAACGCCCATTTCCTGTGATTCGTGATCCCTGGATTAATTAATTTACGGTGTGTGCCACAGCGTGTCACACTTCTCAATGGAGGTCTTGGAGTAGCCGCGGAAAAAGAAGTTATCTGATCTGTACCACGCGCATTGTCCAGACACGGGACCGAAGGTGTAGCGCATTGATCACAGGAACTCCGCGAGTGGACTTTATCCGAATCTTCAGTGCACAGATGTGGACACGGTGCCATCCAATGCGAGCCATCACCAAACGGCCCACTCGCCCCCGCGGCTCCAACGTCGCCCTTAGGACCCTCATCTCGGACAGACCGCTTGGAAGCAGTTTGCGATGGACACAGAAGAGGCGAAGGATCAGCGTGGTGTAAGTAAGTAAGTAAGTAAGTAAGTAATTATTTATATACCGCCTTTTCACTGCAGAGCTGAGTCTCAAAGCGGTTTACAATTGTTATTTTTTTTGGGAGCAGGGTTGCCAGTACAGGAGGCGCATGCCAGAACTATTTTACATATTTTTAGCGGTAGGGGAAACCGGAGTACCCGGAGGAAACCTACGCAGACACGGGGAGAACATGCAAACTCCACTCAGAAAGGCCCTGGTCCGACCGGGATTCGAACCCATGACCTTCTTGCTGAGAGGCGAGAGTGCTATCCACTCAGCCACCGTGCCGCCACACAGGTGTGCGTTACAACACGATGGAATACCCGGGGAGCTTACCTGTAAGGTAGGAGTAACGCGTGTACTCTCTGATGATAGCGATAGCAGGTTAGCATCTCCCGGTAGCCGTGTCTCCGTGTGATGATCGTGAGGGCCAGGGCATGGGTGAATGTCACCGGATAGCATCAGACATATTGTGACAATGAGTCCAGACATCTGTGTTGTTCTTTGTACTTTCTTTGTTCTTTGTACTTTGTAAAGTGACGGATAGACAAAAGTCATACCCAGCGTATACTTTCCATAACTGATGCTTGCCTTTGCCAACTCATGATAATTCGTTTGTTTGTAGCTCTGATCTTCAGGTTTGGGAATTGTAGAATTCCAGTCAAACATAGGTGAGTATTTTCCTTTTATGTGAGTTGTATTGTTTGCAAGGTTTACAAACAAAAAGTAGACTAGGAGCGCAGTGACAGCCCCTGTCACACCCGCAGCCGCCATCTTACACACATCATACGTTGCCTTCACATGTTTGCTCTAGACGGAACTCTTTAATCCCTGGCATTGACCCAGAAGAAGTAAAATTCTAAATCTATGAAAACAATTGAAAAACATGGTGGAGGTAAATATTCTTAAAAAGGTCACATTTGTTATTTTAACTTTTTTTTTTTTTTCCATTTGGAACAACCGTCAAAATTACACTGAGTGGCTTTAAGTTTTGTTTCTGATCTATTAGTAAATGATCTTACAGGCAGCGGCCGTGCTCCTAAAGAACCTTTTCCAAATTCATTGAAAACAGCAGGATATAAATCCTGTACAGACACAGTATAAACTCTGGACCAGTATATATTTATATATATAAATCCTGTACAGACACAGTATAAACTCTGGACCAGTATATATTTAATTAGCATTTGTTTTGTGTACCTTTCTCTTCACTTTTTCTTGGTTGTCCAATGTCCAAAAAGAACAAACTGTCGTCTGGTTTATCTGCGATTAAACCACTGTGAACAGAAAATAGCAAAGATCATTTTAATCAGTTTAATTGTACAAATATGAATAAGTTTAATAATTACAAACATGTTCCAACATGTTAAAGTATCCTCAGATCCCAGGACACTGTTCACACAACAGTCTCCTGAGCTCCTACACAGAATCTTCACATTTCCTGATGGAAATACTGGGAGCGCAAGGATGGGATCATCACTGGACACTTTGTCCCTGGGTGGGATTCGAACCCCAAACCTGTTGAGTTCTGAGACAACGGAGTAGCCCACTTGGCCATTGTTAGCTACTGATGTGTTCTCATATGTTAAATATATAGAAATAGTGTGGCTCAAACTCGAACTTAATTTTTATATACAATGACTTTTCTTATACGTTTAGGCTGCATCAAACGGTCGCTGGTCCGAATCATAGTTTTTATTGCTATTCTAAGAAACAGGAAATCAAACTAGAATTTTCTTCTAAAATCAATCAGAATCATTGTTATTGCCACGTAAGCAACAAACAAAAGTTACCACTTGGAAATTGTTTTGGCAGAGAGCGTGCCACTTAGCCATTTGCGGCACTGTATCAAATAGATATAATGGATAGATATAAAAAATAGATATTAAATTGATATATAAAACAAATCTTTAAAAAATTAAAATATATAAAAAATACACATAAAAGTACTCGGGCTTTCAAAGAACACTTGTACCACGATTACGTGTAAATGTAGTATTTGTGAACTAAAGGACGTGTATAATCAACATGAAGCCCAGAATCATTAGCGTCACGAAGCATGACGACGTAACGCACGTAAATCGAATATCTCCATCACAAACGCTATGTTTGGGCTCACGTTAAACTCAAGGTGAATTCCTCGGTTCTCGTCGCTCATATTTTGTAATATAATAATATTATAATCACCCCGTGGTCCTCTCTTGGAGCCTGATGTCATCCAAAAACTCCTCCACATCGTTAATATCGCAGTGTTTGTTCCAGTTCTTCTTCTTATTCTTGTTCATTCGTTTTCTCTTGCTACTGTACAAGTCTGTGGGGTTTATGTTGGATTTTAACGTGAGAAATCCAGGTTGTGAAGCGGCCACGCGTTTAGGCTTCCTGGTCGTCGCCATCTTGGATCGAAAAGAGACACTCGTAGCACGGGGCGGCACCTACTGGCCAGAGCGTGTAAATACATAAACAAATATATATATATATATATATATATATATATTATTTAGATATTTTAGGTAATGCAGGTTAATATTGCATTTTCATAATCTTTTTTTTTAACTGAATCCAATGAATTACAGTCTGATTGTTTATCTAAGAAACAACTCCACAAATAGTTTCGTTAGCGATGTATTAGCACTTTATTAAAAATACAACGAAAAGTACAAAATCTATTATTTTCGGACACTGTTTCTGAGACGATGCGTTTTAACATTGCACTGTTGTGATTTGGGTGTTGTGAAATTTGTAACATGTTTTGTGAAATTTTCCAAATTCAAGCTAACATTAAATTACAAAGTCTGACTTCACATTTTTAATAGTGACGTGTTTGGTGAATATGTGCGTAGATAAAGGAGTTATCTTCCTCCTACATGTGTGCAGTGTGTTGGCCCCAAATGCATCATGGGAAGTCTCCTACTTCACTATGTTCTTTTCTCTTCCCTCCCTTGGTTTTAAAGCGAGAACAACGCTTTAAGACACTCCAGAATAAACTGTTATTTTGTCATATTTTTCGACTTAAACATTGTCAAAGGTAAGTGACAAATTTTTGATCAAACTTGACTTCAGCCGATGGGAACAGGTAGATGAGTGGATGGTAGAGTTTAAAGAGTATTTTTGGTGTTAAAGATGAGGCAGAATGAGCTATTTGCTCTTGGAGCCAGGGACTGAAAAGAGAAATGACAAAATCCAACTCCGAAATGCGCCTATTTCAAAGGGCGATCTGCCCAAACGTGCTTCACCAAACGATGCCTTGACTTGTCTAGTGTCGTGATCATAAAGTTGTTGATGCTTTGGCGGAGTAGTTTTTCTAATCTTCGATGTTTTTGTGGAGTCCCGCGCTTCGCTTTGGCAGTTTCCCGTATACGTTCTCCCTCAGCAGCAGCAGCCATCATCTGTGAGGGCGGTGCTTTGTGTAAACGGGGCAGCGCGGGCGGGCGGGGCAGCCTGTTTTCTGTCATTATAGCTCATTCTGCAGTGAAAACGCAGCTTTGTGCTCCGTGGCGCTGCACGATTGTATAAAACGAGCGCACCAGGGCATATGGCGCAGAGGGCGGGTCTGTGTTTGTGCGTCAGCCTCCAGCTTCATACACTGAATATTATTGGACATTACTTTTTTATACACGGAGTTTCGAGTGTCAGGTATGACACCATTATTACATAAATACTACTATCTGATTGAACGCATATTTCAAGACCTTTTATGACTATTATTAGTTGCATATTTCTGCAACTGCCTATACTAAACTACTTTAATTAATTCAAAATCACATTCTCTTGTATTTTGTTCTATAACATTTTGACAACTCTCTTCTTGTCCACAGCTGAGTTGCCATGGCCCGTACAAAGCAGACCGCCCGTAAGTCTACTGGAGGCAAAGCTCCTCGAAAACAGCTGGCCACCAAAGCAGCTCGTAAGAGTGCTCCTTCTACTGGAGGAGTCAAGAAGCCCCATCGCTACAGGTGACGCCGACACAGTTACAGTTTAACAGTAAAAACAAGTGTTTGATGAGCTCCTCTCCTCAGGCCAGGCACCGTGGCTCTGCGTGAGATCCGTCGTTATCAGAAGTCCACTGAGCTGCTGATCCGCAAGCTGCCGTTCCAGCGTCTGGTCAGAGAAATCGCCCAGGACTTCAAGACCGACCTGCGCTTCCAGAGCGCTGCCATTGGGGCTCTGCAGGTCTGTCACTCTGAGCCTTTCACCTGGGAACAACAGTTTTATAAATGTTAATGACACATGTGTTTTTGTAGGAGGCCAGCGAGGCCTACCTGGTGGGTCTGTTTGAGGACACCAACCTGTGTGCCATCCATGCCAAGCGTGTTACCATCATGCCCAAAGACATCCAGCTGGCCCGTCGTATCCGCGGAGAGCGTGCTTAAACCTTTATTATGTTTCCTTCTGTCTCTCACTTCAGTAGTTTGATTTAGGGTTATTCGTATATAACTTGTGATCTTGTTGGTGCTACTAGTAGCCTTCATCTTAAATATATCCACTGTCTCTGGTGAAACCAAGATCTCTAATGCTTTATATCTGAATGTTTTGTTAGTTTTGTGCTTTCTGCAGACACGTACTCTGATTGTCCCATTGTTGAAGTAGCAATCATTTTGATTTTTACAATTAAGATGTATTTCTAATTTTCGTTTGATTCTGGTCATTTAAAAACGTCATTGTTCACTGATGACAATGCATGATTGACAGCGGCATTTATGTAGCAAATTTGTGTTGATGGAATTTTCATTTTGACGTCACTGTGTCCGAGTGATTTAACTTTTTGTTCTATTCTCAGGTGGATATAACCTTTTTTTCTACAGTGTTTTGATTTTATTTTGAATCTAAATATTTGTACTCTGAAATTCATATGCCGTCTTAATAAACACATGCAAAACCACAGCTCTGTTTTATCATCGTAACCATTATGTGTTAGTCTTTGAAGATCCAAACAGCTGCTGACCTGACCTCACCTGTCATCTGCAATAATGTGCAATAATGTCAGAATGTGCAATATGGGACGACCTGTGCCTGTCGCTTTTCTTCCAGAGCCTCAAACTGCAAACATATGAAGTAGAATCACTGAATATTTGAACAATCAGAGCTAACAACGTATTACTTCAATATTATTGCACTAGTAGAGTGTGCAACAGCACTATCTGCAGATGGATACACACAAGTATATATCACTATATATATATATATGCACTGGAGTATATAGGTTTACACTATATTTGTGTATAATTGTTTTATACTGTGTTTCTGTATTAGGCTAAAGACAAAGATTTGTTTCTCTAAGTAAAATAGTGGAATACTTAATACTCACTTATTTTCGGCAATGTGCTTCTCATCATACTGTTCTGTAACTTGTGATGCAACACTGACATTTCCACTGTGGGACGAATATAGGATCTCTTCATCTTAATCTAAATGCAGACCATGAAAGCCTAATATAAAGTTAATTTATTTCTAACATAGTTTTACAAAGCAGCTTTTAATTAAAATCCTATGGCGTCAAAATAGGGTCTGCTTAAACGTAACCGTAAAGCAGGAATTGTAAACGTAGGTTGTAAGTATTGTAAACATAAAAATATATTGTAAACGAGAAAACTGTAGTAAAGTAAAACTTACACTTACATTTCACATTTTTCGTGTTTCGCTTCAAAAGTTACGTTTACGATTCACGAGTTACGTTTACAATTCACAAGCTACGTTTACGATTCAAAAGTTACGCTTACGGTTCAAATTTAATCTGACCCCTTTTTGGAGGGGCGGGCTCAGCGCGCTCATTGGCTGGAGGGCCCGGATGTTACGTCACCACAAAACCAAAACACACGCACGTTACTACAGAAGATCCATGCTGAAGACGGAGAAAAATTTGAACCGCGAAATGGAAGAAAGAACATCTAGGGAGGTATAATCATGGATCTATTATAATGGGTATAACAAATTGTTTCGATCTTTTTTAACAGATTTAAATACGTCAACAACTTTCGTAATAAGGCAAAGATGACTTGTTTTATTTTAGCTAGCTGTGATGGAATTACAGCACATAAGAAGGCGATGATGGTGCTATGTTATTGTTTTTTCCCCATATATGCGTTGTTGCAATAATTATTAACATTAACTGTCTGCATTACCCCCAGGCTGAACCGTCTGTTGCCTCTGCGGTACAAGCGCTAGTCGCTGTCCTGCAGAGGCATGTCCAGCCGAGTCTCGAAAGCGCAGGTCAGGGACAGGCTCCTAATCCTCAGGTCACGTCAGTACAGCCACGTGAAAGAATCCAGGGTCCAGCCGTTCAGCATGAGATGGCCAGGTTTATGTGAAATTATTGTAGTGTTTGATGCCAATTTAAAGCCAGTTTTTGTTTATCTGTTACTCCTGCTATAAACATATTTGTATTCCCTGTGTGTTAGTTTATTACTCACTTACTGGTACTGGTATTTTAATTGCAATATATTTTCCAAAATACAAGTATAAAGAGATCCTAGACTACCTTTTTTAACTTCATGTGTTTTTTTTTTTGTTTAGATCTTTTCCTGGATTTTTCCAGAAGAAAAGTTGTCTAGGAAAAAGACGCTTCCAGTGCTCCAAAAATGTGCCAAAGCAACCAAAGCATTTTTCTGTCTACCTGCTGCAGAAAAATGCACAATTCACACCAAGTCCATCAGGTGAAATGCAATTGGCACTGGCTGGACTTGGTAAGCGTCAAGTGGACATTATAGAGTCTATGGACCATAATCAAGTAAGAGCCATTTCTTTATAACAAACTTTCAATGGTTGCATGTACAATAAAGGTAATGTACATTAGGTGTCCATTGTGCTGGGGGAAACATTCAGCAAATTCAAGAATGTGTCTGGGGGATGGGTCGTCAAAAAAGCACTAGGTATCATTATTACATTATGCGGTTTTGCTGTATCTTTGCCAGAGATTTTTACGTCCTATTTTAGGTGGTCATGGAAGAAGAAGTCTGACGGTTGTCCCTCCAAGCCATGAGGGTTACACAGGAGCTCAACTTAAATCTACCACCTTTAATGGCAAAACAGCTCTTTTTGTTGTCCCTCTGCAAGAGGAGCTGGACATGAAGCCATTACCCTCAGATGCAGAAGAGTACAAATTGATGCCGAAAGCTACATGCAAGTCATGCATGCAAGAAATGCCACTACAACTATTGACGAATCATGTGGAAAGTTGCACAGAAGACTTGATGCACATGTTTCAGAATCTGAGACGGTAAACTCTGTATATTTCATATGATTATTAGTCTGATATTTGATATTGATTGATCATACGTTTTATCTTCTAGTATTAGCAGAACTCAAATATTTATTGTATTTTTCTAGTTGTCTGATGGGAAAGAAGATGATATGGAAAACTATTCATCTGAAGCTGAAACTTCATTCCAACCACTCAATGTACTCAGATTCATTTTATTTGACTACTACTAACTACTACTACCCTTTGTGCAATTGTGATATGACTTAACTTGGACTGTTGATAGCTATTTAATCGGGACTTGGGCTAAAGTTATTCCCTGTGACATGAAGACTTTGTCTTCTTCCACTTTATCCTGTGTCGGGTCGTGGGGGCAGCAGTCTGAGCAAGGACTAAGACCAGCGTGTTCTGGGTCTTCCCCTGGGCCTCCTCCAATAAATGATGTACTACTACAACTGAGAGCAAAGACTCGACTTCCAAAACACAGACCTTTGTATTACATTCCTTGTTTTATTTTTGATTTTCAAGGTGGCTAAGCATGTCCAATTTGTCACAAGATGTTTCAGAATCAGAACTTCTGAACCATGCAAGCACCTGTGGTGACACTGGGTGAGATGTTTTGTAACATTTAATATATTGCAACTCTCAAGTTGCATATAATAACATACATGTTACTTGCTTTGACAGTTTTGAAAACAGTGTCCCCATCCCCTCGGCAGACTTGTTGGAGGTGGATAAAATATCCTGGTAATTTGTGCTTAATATCACATTTAAGTGGATATTGTGCTGGAGACCAGTTCATTTGCATTGTTTCTAATAGTGAAGAGGATGTCCTGCGTTGGCTGGTTACTCAGCTGGACCGTAGTAAGGAGTTCCACCTGTGTATTTCACGAGAAAACTTGTTGGAACGAGGCATAATGCAATGGCAACGCCAGAAGAAAGCTTCGCCATTAAACCCTCTGAAAGTCAGCTTTCTTGGGGAGGCAGGAGTTGACACTGGCGCTTTAAGGCTTGAGTTCCTCACAGGTCAATAAGAACGTTATTGTTATTATTTTTTCTCTATATACATACTTATGTTAATGTCTTTTGTTTTAGAAATGGTTGCTGGTTTGGAAGAGCGCCTATTTGTAGGAGAGAACAAGAAAGGAAAAATTCCAAAATATTCAATGAGTGACCTGCACAATGGTCTTTTTAGGTTTGTGAATTTTTTTTTAAATGCAGTAGTAACTGCGAATTGTTTTTGTAAATTAAGTTGAGTACTGATTTTCTTTTCTTCCAGAGTTGCAGGGCAAGTGTTTGCTGCAAGTCTGGCCCAGGGGGGACCAGCACCAAAGTTTTTGCAAGAGTGGTGCTTCAGTTTCTTGGCAACTGGTACATTACCAAACGTAACAAAATATGACGTGCATGAGCCACAGCTAAGCAGTCTGATAAAACAAATTGAAGAAACCGATGATGATTTTTGGCCATTGCTGATGAAATTATCAACTGTGGCTACACAGGATGCATCACTGTAGATAAGAAGGAGGAAATAATCAGGTATGTTGAATTTGATGGGGTTTTTTTTTTTTTATCGAAATGTAAAAATGTCTTGTTTTCAGAGCCATTCTGATGCATGCAACCATGCAACGCACCCCAATGCTTAATGACTTGAGAGAGGGACTCAATTTGTACAATTTCATGTCAGTCCTGCAGCAAAAAACAGAGCACTGCCGTGGCCTTTTTGTCTTTGATAATGATGATAAGGTATATTCTATTATACTTTTTTGGATCCTACTGTACTGCCATTGTTACAATCTTTTTACTAGGTGGATGCACATTACATCATTTCTAACCTTGACCCACAAATGAGTGAAGAGGGTACCTTGAAGCACAGCAAAGAAATCCACATCTTGAATTGCCTTCAGGACTTTCTGAATGAGATTGAGGGTATATTTTTATGTAATGTTTGTGTATAATGTTTGTGTAATAATATGCCTCTTTTATTAAGATGAGCCATTGTGCAATGAAGATCAGCCAACTGTTGCCAAAATAATGCAGTGGCTTACTGGACAGTCACATCGTCACCTCCTGCTCTCAGACAGACGTCGCTTCAAAATTTATGTCCATTTCAATCACAACTGCCGTGAACAAATGCCAGAACATACTCTGTGTTTCCCAGTTGTAAATGCATGCTCACAGACCATTACGTTTCCAACTGCTCACTTCAACACTTATGAAGAATTTAAATCAAACTTCACTACTGCAGTTACATGCAGTGGAGGATTTCACATTGTCTAGTGAAATGACTTTTTCAAGGCACACATTTCGTATTGAATGTTTTGTTTCATAAATAAATATTCCGTTACTTGAAACTAATTTAGAGATGTCGCCGTTCATGTGAAACTGGTTTTGGTTATCTGCAGTAAAATTGAATAAATGTCAAGTGTCAAATGAACTGCAAACAAACATCTCTTATTGCATATTTTTACTTTTCCATTGAAATATTTTACACTTGCGTGGCACTGTGAAGCAGAACATAATTTAAAACCGAAATGTATATAGCTCGTCCGAAATCACATGAAGGTGCAAGTGGGTTGAACCTAGCCCTTAATAGTTCCAGACTTTGCTGTGGCATGGGACATGCAATTTGTGGGACTACAATTCCAGAGGCTTCCAGGTCTTCGTCTTGACTTGGAGGGTTTTGGTAAAGTGTGTGCTGTAAAAAAAACAAAAGATTACCATCTTTGGGTTAGAAAACGCATTGACATATTATAAATAGCAAAACGTAAGTGCCCTAACACCTGTGCAGACGGGACTGGATTCAGTGCTTTGCCAATCTCCCAAAGTTGGTTTGGTGTGAGATTTTGTTCAGTGCGAAGGGGGTGGTTGTTCCAGCTATTGATGAAGCTGTGGAGGTCTGATGTTAGCCTTGGCAAGAATACGTATTGAGCGGAAAAAAGCTGAAGACTGTTGGTTGGATCCAGAGAGCCCTCTTCCTCTAAACTATGGAGAAGTTCGTAGTATGTACTTGTCACTGACATCCACATATCACGCCACAGTCTCTCAATACTGTGAACATAAGAAATGATAAATCAATCTGACAAGGAACATTGAAAAGACACAAATTAAATGTCCCAATCAGATGCAATGTGTTATAACTAAGTAAACTACATACTAACAAGAATAGTTACCCACATATAATATAGCTAATAATAATCTATTTATACTCAGCATGTTCTAAATGATTGGGTTAATACAAACCGCTGATTGTGAACACTCTTGCCAGACATGAAACTTCCTCTACCACAACCACGAATGGAAAACATAAATCTTGCTATTTGCAAGTTTTCAACGCCTTGGTCTCCACGAACCCTATAAGAACAGAAAAAAAGTCAAGATGACTTTTGAGCAGGGCATGTTATCATTCTATAACATAACCTTGGTAAATATGAGCAGAGAAAATTGAAGGAAAATACATTGCTTAAACAACATGGGTGTATGTGACATTATGAAATTCAGTTACCTGGAAGGAAGACCATTCTCTGCCACAGATCCCAGGAAGAATCCTAATGCTGTAGTGGATTTATTGTCCGTTGCAGCCTCCAAGTACATAATCTGTATTTAAAACAAAAACTTTATTAATAGAAGAACTACTGCTGAGTTAAATTTTAAAATGTACCTTTCGTGAGTATCCATCTATGCCACCAAATATGACAAAGCCATATCTGCGTAAAGGAAACATGACAAATCTCTTAAATGAAAAGTTTGAGACTAAGGATTAAATCCTTTAATCCTATAAAAGGATTAAATCCTTAGTCTCATAACATAAATAGAATAAAATGTCATTATGTAAAAACAGTTCTATTTATGAATAAAATCATACTAAACAAGAACTACAACATTGGCCAGGTCTACACCATCTACTAAGCGGTGGCGCACCCATGACTTGAAATACAATGAACTGTACTGCTACAAAGAATCCTAGGAATACTGTTTGGGAGCTACCTTATAACTATTGTGTGTGACTGACCTGATGAGTTTATGATTTGTGTCCACATGAACAAGGGACAGAGGTCCCTGGACACTGTAGGACCTCCGGACGACATAACCAACATGTGTGGCTCTGCACAGGACTCCAACACGATCTACCCGTCTCAGGGATGCCCATACTCGAGTCCAAGGGAGGCGATGACCCAGTGCCTGTAGCTTACCCTTCAGCATCCGAGATCCCATATTGGGCATAGTTACTTTGATGGTTCTGACAAGTTCATCTAGTTCATTGTCTTGTATAGTACTGTACGTTTGTCTAATGCTGATTGTATACTCTTTTAGAGCGCGCTTTACAGTAGATACTGAGACACCCATAAGTCCAGATATTGTTGTAACGGAGTGTCCCCATTGTCACAAAATGCTGTAAAATATCTTTATCTAGTCTGTATTTGTAATGTCCCATTTCACCAGTTGTTATCTCAGTCCCAATGGGCTGAACAGTCCTATCACTGAGTTGTGTAGTCAGTACTCCACAAAGGGTCGAAAGGGCAGCTATGACATCCTGAGGAATAGAAGTTTGGTCTGAAAGTGACTGAATAAAAGTCAGTTCATGGTTGCAAATAAAATGCAAAAACTGAAGATCCAGAGGGTGGCGAGATGCCTGTTGAATGCGGTCCAGTAGTCTTGTCATGACAAGGTTTCCCAAGGTTTCCTTAAAGAAAAATTGAAATATGATGCTAGCGATGCATCAGCAGAACCATAAATGTATGCTTTATGATAAAGATCTGCGCATATAAATGTTATTAGCCAAATTAAATCAAAATATAACATAATATAACACATACATACATAATGTATTATACCTCCCTAGATGTTCTTTCTTCCATTTCGCGGTTCAAAGTTTTCTCCGTCTTCAGCATGGATCTTCTGTAGTAACGTGCGTGTGTTTTGGTTTTGTGGTGACGTAACATCCGGGCCCTCCAGCCAATGAGCGCGCTGAGCCCGCCCCTCCAAAAAGGGGTCAGATTAAATTTGAACCGTAAGCGTAACTTTTGAATCGTAAACGTAGCTTGTGAATTGTAAACGTAACTCGTGAATCGTAAACGTAACTTTTGAAGCGAAACATGAAAAATGTGAAATGTAAGTGTAAGTTTTACGTTTACTACAGTTTTTTCGTTTACAATATATTTTTATGTTTACAATACTTACAACCTACGTTTACAATTCCTGCTTTACGGTTACGTTTAAGCAGACCCTATTTTGACGCCATACAATCCATATTTATTTTAACACTATGAAATCCAAACCAAACGTAACAATGAATTGAATGGAGAAATATGAGTGTAGATTGTAATGAAAGTAGAAATGCAGATGGAGGTTCTTTGTGACATGATGGAAGCGCCGCCATCTTGCCGCTGGAGAACGTCTCTTTGTAGATAAAAAACAGCCGCTTAACCTTTCTCGCCACTTCTGCCCACTTTTCCTCAAGGTAAGCCTTGGGAACTGCCTCTCAGGGGTTTTAAATAAACTTTTAGGCTTTGTAAACACTTGATAGCATGTTTGTGAGTGGTGTGAGTCAGAAAATGTGTGATTGTCAGTGTTAAAAAAGGCAAAGAAAAGAAGAGTGTAAATGAAGCTCCCGTGAGCGGGAAACTGGAGCAGGTTAGAGACGTGTGTTTACGTCGGTCCTACGCAGCCGTTACTGGATCTAACAGTTCCATTTTATGTAAAAATGTTTATTAAAATGTGGGGTTCGCAGTGTGGTTGGTCACGTAAATGCCAGGAGTCTGTGTGTTTGAGGAATTGTGATTTTTTTTTGGTACAAGGTCTGTGCTCAGCTCGCGTCCTTATCCACCGCTCATCACCAACCCGCCATCGTCAGAGCGAGGGGCGGGGCTAAAGCGCTGATGGACAGCACTAAAGCCCGCCCACTGACATGTCTCTGAAGGCTGATTGGTTAAAAGGCAGTGTTTATTAAAATGTCTGTATCCGACAGCCAATCATATCATACTCAACTTGGATATGTTTATGTTGAAAGAAAAGTGAAGAAACGCGTTGGCAGCGGTGAAGGTGGATTATTCTGGTCATTTAATGCAGTCTATTAGTACAATACTTAAAGGAGCTGTTTTTGTGGGATAACAGCATTCATTTGGCATCATGTTCATATATTTGCTGTGTACTTATCCTCTTCTTGTCCACAGCTGAGTTGCCATGGCCCGTACAAAGCAGACCGCCCGTAAATCTACTGGAGGCAAAGCTCCTCGAAAACAGCTGGCCACCAAAGCAGCTCGTAAGAGTGCTCCTTCTACTGGAGGAGTCAAGAAGCCCCATCGCTACAGGTGACGCCGACACAGTTACAGTTTAACAGTAAAAACAAGTGTTTGATGGGCTCTCCTCCTCAGGCCAGGCACCGTGGCTCTGCGTGAGATCCGTCGTTATCAGAAGTCCACTGAGCTGCTGATCCGCAAGCTGCCGTTCCAGCGTCTGGTCAGAGAAATCGCCCAGGACTTCAAGACCGACCTGCGCTTCCAGAGCGCTGCCATCGGCGCTCTGCAGGTCTGTCATTCTGAGCCTTTCACCTGGGAACAACACTTTTATAAATGTTAATGACACATGTGTTTTTGTAGGAGGCCAGCGAGGCCTACCTGGTGGGTCTGTTTGAGGACACCAACCTGTGTGCCATCCACGCCAAGCGTGTGACCATCATGCCCAAAGACATCCAGCTGGCCCGTCGTATCCGCGGAGAGCGTGCTTAAATGTTTCAGTGTTCTTTGCCCCGTGTTCCTTGCCTGGTTGTACCACACCATAGTACAAATGACATTTCGTTCTAAGGTCTGGAGGTGCTCCATTGAGTTCCGTTTACAGGTGGGAGGGGTTAACTCCTTTTCCAGATTGAAACGATTGGATCTGAGTTTACCGTTACGTATGTAGTGCGCCCTAGTCTGCTGTTAGCATTTAGCATTTAGCCTAGCCATGTCCTTTGCAGCTAACGGAGCCCGTGGGGAGTAGCGCCACAATTTTGTCCATTACATTTGCTAAACATTACCCTTGCTCCAGCTTCAATTTCTTGATAGAACCAGACCGGATTACTTTACTATCGCATTTTTCGGCATTACCAAACTACAACTTGCCCGTTCGATGCAAACTCTTGACATCACCCACAACTATCTACAACACCTGCCTTCCGCGCTCGCTGGTAGGTCGGTCGAAATTCAACCGATTGTAATCGCTAACATAGGGACTAGACCCAGACGTTACATGCAGTGAAATGATGATTGAACGGAGTGTACGGCTGGCTAAGGCCAGGCTACCGTGTTCCCTGCTCCTGCAGAAATGTAGATTATAATATGTGTAATAAGACTCATCTGTTCACCTGGTGTTTGGAGTTTGAGAAGGAGCTGATGGTGCCGTGTCTCTGGTGCTTCTCCAACAATCGCCGGTGTCATCAGTGAAACAGACTGGATTCTGTGCTTTCTGTTGTGATTCTCTGTGTTTTTGTTTTGCCTCAGGGCTTGAGATTATAACCATCAACATTCATAATATAATGTAATTTGACAAAAATTTGACTTGGTTTTCAGTGTTTTTGCCATTTTTAACAGTATTATATCGTGGCACAAGCTAGTATGAGTAACATTTTTTCATTTGTTTTGGCTTTTTGTTTTACTGGTTTTATGTTGCAACATCACATTAACTCAATTTGACGTTGTTTGAATTAGCAAAGTGAGAACATTATTTTCTGTGTCTGAAATAAATGAATGAACACAGACTGCATTATTGTTCATGCTTCACATGAAGCTCGAGGCGTGACAGACATGGCTAGTCATTCAGAACCGTTTGGAGACAAACAAATGACTATGACGCTGTAGTTTTGGTCTTTGATGACTCATTTTACGCTTGCTATATTTATATATTTTTTTATGGAAAATAAGAAAGGAGGGTGAAGCTGGGGCTTGGGTCCATTTGTCTGAGGATGACCAAACCGAGGGCTGTAACAGTTTCTCTTTCACAGCTGAAGAGTTAGAGACCTGTCATAAAGATAAAGGCTCAAAGTACACTCATTATTATAGTTCATTGGTTTTATATCGTAGGGGAAGAAAATTGATGGGTTTTATATAGCCACAGCTGCCCCGGGGCACACTGACAGAAGCGAGGTAACCAGTCTGTGCCATCCGACCACTACCAACCATTCACACACACACCAGAACCATTGTAGGCATTGTGGGTGTGTCTTGCCTAAGGACACAGTGGCAGTTTGGCAGCCAAGCCAATCTTTCTATATAAATTAAATATTTTGCAAAATGTTAAATGTATTGATGTTGACTACACAGACAAGTCTGGTCTAAGTAGTAGCTGTAGTTATACCGTATATAGTATTGCACACTTTTTAATCCAATCGACACTTCAGTGTTCACACCACTAGATGGCAGTCACACACAGTACATTATGTCCCACTGTCAGCTACATCTCTCCCCCATCTCTGCCCTATGTCTGCCTCATCTCTCCCCCTCTCCCCCATCTCTGCCCCATGTCTGCCCCCCCTAATGTTTAAATGTCTGTGCTGTTCTGCAGAAGTCTTTAAAACTCTTGGACTTCACTTCATTATAAACCATTAGGTTTAGGATCAGTGTTAAACCCATCATAGGTTCTCTTAGAAATAATATATTGGTGAGAATAAATTAATTGATATTCTACACGTCTGTTGTAAATGCTTTAACTAATGCAGTAGTAAGGAAACTCAAAGAACAGATAGAAAGAACCACACAAGGCGTTCCTGTTACACACAAAAGCAGAACATGGTCTGTTGTTTCTTAGGCTGCACTTATCTAAAGTACTAGAGATTGTTTTTATCCATGACTTATATTTATTTTTACTTTTATTACTTGTTTGTACCTTGAGCTGGAGCAAATTCTTAGTTTGTGACTTCCTGTTTCTTCCAATGGCAAAAAGAATGATTCTGATTCTGACTCTTTTATGTCATACACACACACCCACGCACACACACACAGACACACAATCCAACATATAGTGTATTATAAAGTGGTCCTCCTCAGAGTCCATCTGTGCGTAGGGATTACGGCCGATCTGTCTGTCTGCTCAAAGTGCTGACCATGGACCAGATTAACCAGAGGAGCGCGGGACCCGGCTGCGGTGCATCATGGGTAAAAACAAGGGGGAGGGGGTACGAGAGACAATGTACAATTCACAAAGTAGTAATTGAAATGTATCCATGAGTTTCGGAGTCAAGTCCATTTAATTTAGTTCCCAGAGCAGGACGTCCTGCAGCTTCCCCTGGACTCAGACCCACAAACTACAGCCAGGATTACTTCATTTGTAGACTTTTGTGAGGAACTAATTGTAATAGTATTCTTTTCTTTGATGATGTATCCAGAACAGCATATTAAAAGTCCTAAGAAATCCCAAATAATTTAATGAACATCAATCTAAGATGTACAACAGACTGTAAATAGATGGACAACGCTAACCCGCTAACATACATTGAAAACTCAATAATTTTTTGTGTCTCACTCTGAATTCTGGTCTTAAAAAAACTGTGGGTGATCCCAGTGTTTATGTTGGAATATTGTCTTTGTAAATCCAGATTGGAGCCATTAAAGGATTGACCAATTAGATGCCTTAAATTGCTGCCAGAGCAAATGCCCGTATAAGGAAATTGGTCACATCTTCTGTTCTTCTGAATACGATCTTTGCACCCGATACAGACTATGAAAGCATCCATATTCCTTTCGTTCTTTAACTGTGCGTTGCAACACTAGATTTTCATCATTCTGGGAAAATTACAGGTAATCTTGAAAAAAAATTCTAACTTTTGAATGCAGAAAGTCCTCAGAATACATCAGACAGCTGCAGCCCATGAAGAGTGCCCTCTGATGTGTTTTCATGGTAAAACACTCTTTAAATTGAGGTATAACGCGCCATGGCAGCGCATAATAACCGTATCATCATTATTATCATTATTATTGCTATTATTATTATTGTTATCATTATTATTATTATTATTATCATCTACATTATTATATTATTATTATCCATCCATCCATCCATTTTCTTCCGCTTTATCCGTTGCCGGGTCGCGGGTATTATTATTATTATTATTATTATTATTATTACTTTTATCATTATTATCATTATCATCATCATCTACATTATTATTATTATTATCATTATTGTTATCATTAACATCATCATCATTATTATTATTGTTATTATTGTCATCATCATCATCATTATAATTATTATAATTATTATTATTGTTATTATCATTATTATCTTAGACTTAGACAGACTTTATGGATCCACAGGGAAATTACAATCTTCACAGAAGCTTGAAAAGTTTTCCACAATAAAAAAAAAAACAATGAAAATAACAAAAAAGTAACAACCTGAAAATAAGAATAATAATAATACAATATTTGTGAGAATTGAATAATCTGGATATAGGTGCTCAGGAATATGTACATTGACAGTATAAAATACAGAGAATACATATCTGTAAATATACAATATTTACAAAGACCCAGATAGAGATGACGTCTGTTTAGATCAATATGTTTCTGTCACAGAGCGGTGACTACAGCGGGATGGAGGAGTGAAGAGTGAGGAGTGTGGAATGAGGAGGGTGGACCTTTGCTGGAGAATTCTCGGTAATTTTCAATGATGTGTTTCACCTGTGTCTCTGTGTCTATATGTACCTGTGTCTATATGTACGTGTTTATATGTACCTGTGTTTATATGTACCTGTGTCTATATGTACGTGTTTATATGTATCTGTGTCTATATGTACCTGTGTCTATATGTACCTGTGTCTATATGTGCCTGTGTCTATATGTATGGACAAGGTATAGCACAGGGGTGGCCAACCAGTCAGAGACTAAGAGCCAATTTTTTTTACCGTGTTAAGCAAAGAGCCACATCATACAAATGTGCACTACATAAACATCACCCCAACCCTTACACACGCACACGAACAGACACGCTCTCTCACACAAACACACACACACACACACACACACGCACGCTCACGCACACGAGCAGACACGCGCACACACACACACACACAACACACACACACACACACACACACACACACACACACAAACACATGCAATCTGTCTGAGCAGAGAGAGGTGTGCTCTGCTCAGACAGATTTATTGTAAATGTCATCAACATGATAATGACAGAAATTGACTCGTACAGCACTAAAGGGCTGGACTGAACTCTCCCCGGTTTGCGGGCGCTTCTACCGCTCGCTTCAGCCTCTCCCCGGTACTTTTTATTATGGTTTGGCCCTGGTTCTAACCGGGCGAGTCGATACCAGAACAATCTCACGTCAATGAACGCTTTCAATCTCTAACCAAGAAAAAAAATCAAGTTTCAACCCAGTGTTCAGCAGAAACACAACTGTCTTTATTGAACCATGATTCACTCTGACTGTGTTTAGTAAAAGATATAGATTTGACACATAACACCAACACCACTTTAGCTGATTTAGAACCAGACACATGTTCAGTATAAGACCAGATACTTTTGCATTTGATTGAAGACAGACACTCACCAGGCAGGCTTATCTCCTGGTGTAGCTGGTGCTAGCTGGTTTTAGCATGTTAGCCGGTGTTAGCCGATGTCCGTAAATTTAATCCATTTGGTCAAACCACCTCCAGACTTTTCGGGTCTGCCTCTACTTCTGCTGCTGTAATCTTTCATTTCACGGTTGTCACTTTTAAGCTTTTTAACTTTTCTCTGCATTGTCATGTTTGTGGGAATCATTCTGCTCCGTCCTTAGCGCTAGCTCCACAAACAGCTGGTTTCTGGTGGAACCATCGAGCTCACGCTGGTGTCCTCTCCTCAAACTGAGGAAGGTGTTGCCCTCATCCAGCGACCAAGGAGCTGTTTTCCGTACGGACGTCATGGGTCGAGGCAACGTGTTGTTTGTTATGATATTTGCAACAACTGAGGCAGCGGCTGCAGAGTGATTGACAGCGCATCTGGCCAATCAGAATTGACGTTCGCCGACGTCAGATTGTTTTGGTGGCCTGGCTAGTGGAGTGAAGTCGGCCTTTACTATGGGTCAGAACTACATAGGGAATGAATGGCAGCACCACCACCGAGGCGTTTTTGACGCTTGTCATGTGAAAGCCCGAGAGCCGCACGGAACAAGCCAAAGAGCCGCATGCGGCTCACGAGCCGCGGGTTGGCCACCCCTGGTATAGCATATCAGTTCAGTTCAGTTCAGTTTATTTGCCATTTGCTGTAACAAAACCACATTGGAATACATTAGCAAAAGGTCATAAAACAAAATTAAAAGACAGAAATAAAACAAATAAAACAGTAAAAAAATGTCACTGTGAAATCGATCGGCTAAAAACTGTTTCAAAACAAGTGCAAATCATCAAAGTGCTCTGTTCAAACAGATAACAGCTTGTGGAAAAAAGCTGTTCGCATAACGAGCATATCTCGATGATGCTGAAGTTGGCTGGATGACACTTTGAATTGAATGTTCCTGTTCTCAATGGCCATATTACATGACGCAGAGGGCCATAATTGTTTTAACGTTTCACAAAGATTCCGAGTGATTCTCATTCATTGAAAAAGAGGAAGATGAAGTTTGTGGGAAAAGTCTTTATTGTATTGAAGTTATTTCAATGGAGTTTTTAACATTGAATCCATGGGAATGTTTCCCCCCGACCTGGACCTGGACCCCAACCTGGACCCCGACCTGGACCCCGACCTGCACCCTGACCTGGACCCCAACCTGGACTCCAACCTGGATCCCGACCTGGAACCTGACCTGGACCCTGACCTGGACCCCGACCTGGACCAAGCAGTTGACATGCAGACTCTTTGTCCTGGCAACACAACACGCTAACATAGCGGCTTCCATGATGTATGATGTAAAAAGCCGTACACAAACATGTTGACTTCTGCATTCATGTGTTTGTGTGTTTTTGATGCAGAGTGACTTAATGGCTGCACCCCTTAGCCTGTGCCTGCGTCCGCCTGTGATTGGTCCACACGGCGGGATTAGAGGCCGTATCCCCACTTTGGTGCTGCTCTCTCGTTTTACCAGCGGCACATGATCCTTGCATCACGGGATTGAGGTCAGACCTGGATTATGGCGAGCGAGCCACCGCCAGAAACAAGTAAAGCAAAGAGAAGCAGAGAGGAAAGTGTTTATGAGGGGGACAAGAGGACGCAGTGAGGGTCAAGAGGACGCAGTGAGGGACAAAGGCAGCGTCGCACTGGATCAGAAAGAAGCAAAGGTTTTACTCTTAAAGGGGATTGAACAATGGAAAGGTCCGAGTCAAAGATCACGAACCAAATAAAGTCAAAGCTCTGATGAAAATGCTCTAATAGATTTAAAGCCCATTTTAGACCCAACGTAACAACCATCAATAATGGACCTTTGTCTCTCATTAAGAGAACATCACGGATGTGGATCTGTGTGTTTCTTACTTTAACCCTTTCATGGTTTCCTCTTTGGATGGATCTCTTTTTCACTTGAAGCTTGGAACTGAAATCTCTCTCATTGAGGCGTCTCCATCACTTTTACTTTCCTTTTTTAGACACTTTTCCAATCAAGCTGAATCTCAACCATTTGGTAGAAGTCCAAAAAAACAATTCCTCAAGTCTCTCTGGGTCTTGTTCACGAGTGAGGGAAGGATGGAGCAGCGTCTGCAGTCAGAGCTGTATCAATCAACCAATCAACCAATCAACGTTTATTTCTAGAGCACAGTTCACACACACAAATGGGGAATTAAAAAAAATACCTGCAGAGGATCAGAGGGACTGGTGCAATGAGACTTGGGGCAGCTCTGAGCTGCCCCCCCCCCCCCATCCACTCAGAAATGGGTGCATAAAGGGGTATAAATTGACATGACAAAATAAAATGACGATCCGCTGCCTCCTGATCATGAGTTATAGGCACTACTAAAAAGAACCATTTTCAACCTGAACTTGAATATAGCTTGGGTGGCAACCTGTCTCACACCTTCAGGAAGATTTTTCCAGATGTTAGGTGCATAGGTCTGGACTCTGGTCCCTGTTCCTCCTCAGACTGCTGTGGTGCTCTCTCAGAGGCAGCGGCAGAGGCAGAGACAGGCAGAGGCAGAGACATAGACGATGGAGGAAGACGGAGACCTAAGTCTGTCTAATGCACTTAGCGTCGCGCTGAGGCCACAGGAAGATAAGAGGATTCAGGACATACTTTAAATTAGATCAACAAGAATAACAACCACAAGGGCCAAGGGGGAAGCAGGGGCCGATCAGAGGGGCCGCAGGGGCCGAGAGGGAAGCACCTTCAAAGTGCAGTGTTCAAAGTGCAGAGTTCAAAGTGCTGCACAGATTTACACTGACTCTGAATCCACTGCTTCGATTATTGACCAATAAATGATGACATTTTCTTGTTTCTGAGGTTACTCACATCATTCAGATGTGGAGAAAAGATGGCTCTGGGAAACTATTGGTGAGTATTTTTAAGAGAGTATTATCAATAGAGTATTATTAAGAGATTTTTATTAAGAGAGTATTATCAAGAGAGTATTATCAAGAGTATTATTAAGAGAGTATTATCAAGAGAGTATTATTAAGAGAGTATTATCAAGAGAGTATTATTAAGAGAGTATTATCAAGAGTATTTTTTGTCATGGTGTGGATTTTTTGTTATTGTATTTCCAAATCAGACTGATTGTTTTCAGATCCATAGTCTCTCTTTGGCTGTTTCACAGAACGTTGTCGGGTGACAGGGGGTTTGTCATGTTTGGTTGGTTCAATATTTTCGGGCATACGAACGAGAAAACCAATCGGAAGGAGAGGATCTCTATATAAGGTTTTTACACCGTGCCACGCGGCACGGTGGCTGAGTGGATAGCACTCTCGCCTCTCAGCAAGAAGGTCCTGGGTTCAAATCCCGGTTGGACCAGGGCCTTTCTGAGTGGAGTTTGCATGTTCTCCCTGTGTCTGCGTAGGTTTCCTCCGGGTGCTCCGGTTTCCCCTACCACTAAAGATATGTACAATAGGTCTGGCATGTGCCTCCTGTACTGGCACCCCCACTCCCAAAAAATAACAATTGTAAACCGCTTTGAGACTCCGATGTGCAGTGAAAAGGCGGTATATAAATAAAGATTACTTACTACTACTACTACTACTTCCGGGGCCATGTTCCGGTTTCACTTTATAAACAGGCAAGTTTGGCAGTTTTTCCAGAACAACGTATGGGAGAGGCTTCCAACGATCTTTAAGTTTATGTTTACCGGTGAGGCCAAGATTTCTTATCAAGATTCTATCACCTTCTTGCAGTGGTTGGTCTCTCACACGCTGATCGTATCGTGACTTGTTTTTGAGGTGATTTTTTGTTGCACTTTCTGTGGCAAGATGATAAGATTGTTGCAGATCTTTTTTCATTTTACCCACATATTGCAAGTGGGAAGTTTCTTCATCTTCATCAAAAGCTGCACCAAAACAGATGTCAACAGGCAATCTGGCATTTCGCCCGAACATGAGAAAGTAGGGTGCATATCCAGTTGACTAATTTTTTTGAGCAGTTGTATGCGTGTCCAGTTTTGTTTCTTTACATGCTCAAGCGTACCTCGCATTGAAAGAAGTGTTCTGTTGAAACGTTCAGGTTGAGCATCACCTTGCGGGTGGTATGGCGAAGTTCGGGATTTTCGAATGCCAAGCATGGAGAGAAGTTCCTTAAGACGGCTATCCAAAATCTCTACCCTGATCCGAATGTATTCTGGCCGGCAATTGGACAAAGTACTTTTCCCATAGTACTTTTGCAACTGTTACTGATTTCTGATTTGTTGTAGGAAACGCTTGTGCGTAACGTGTGAAATGGTCAGTAACCACTAATACATTTGCAATGCCTTTTTTGTCTGGCTCAATCTGAAGAAAATCAATGCACACCAAATCTAGTGGGCCATTGCTTGTGATTTGGTTCAATGGTGATGAACGTTGCGGGAGTGATTTACGGGAAATACATCCACAAGTTTTTACATATTGTTCTACATCAGCGCTAAGACGTGGCCAATAGAAAAGATCTTTGAGTAGTTCAGAGGTTTTCACTACACTGAGATGTCCACACTCATCATGCAAAGATTTCATAACACTCTGTCTGTATCTCTCTGGCAAGACTAACTGTTTGGTGTCAGTGCCATTCTGTGCTTTTCTTATTCTGTATAGTATTTCATCTTTTAGTTCGAGTTTTGCAAGTTCACGACACGAAAGACCTACATCTGGAGGATCAGTTTTGGATTGCACTGGTTGCTTGCCTGATCTCAGAGCTTGTTTTACAGGACCAATGACTGTATCAAGATCTTGAAAGATCTGGAGCTCTTTCGGTGTTAACTGCTCGAATGTCAGTGCGGTTAGACTAACTGGGAATGCGTACGCGTCAGGAATCACTGTGGGTGGAACGCCAAGTTGGTCAACTAGTCTACCTTGACTAGTGAACTTGGTTTTGCAAATAGCTTTTATGGCTGATTGGGAAACCTCTGACCATTGCTCACTGTACTGTCGAGACAAAAGGTCTGCGTCTATGTTGTGGCTACCTGGACGGTATTGGATGTTAAAGTCGTTCGTGGCCAGAGCAGCTAACCAACGGTGTCCGACAGCACTGAGTTTGGCAGTTGTCAAAACGGACGTTAAAGGGTTGTTGTCCGTTCAAATCGTGAATCTGGCGCCATATAGGTAATCATGGAATTTGTCCACAACGGCCCATTTAATAGGGGACATATCATGAAAAATCCACTTTTTGTGCCTTAAATGCCTTATGTTGTGTAGTTGGAGCCTCTAGAAGTGCAAAAAAGTTGAAATCAGTCTCTTCATGGGTTGCAGAGAACACTTCATATTCTGTTTAGGTAAGATTTTTCAACCCGTTCTGATTTTGCCATTCTCTATTACGTGTTTAGAATTATTACGTCACAGTGTTTGCAGCGAGACTGCTATATAAGGGCATTGGCGTCTAACAAAACACTTCGGCCCAGCCCTCCTCTACTGTGCATCACTTAATTTGTAGTCCAAGCTCAAGGATGCCAGCGAACAAGGCTGGACTGGCCATCGGGCGTACCGGGCAATGCCCAAAGGGCCGATGCCCATATTTGGGCCGGTCTCTCTGCCTCATACAAAACACATGTTTATGAGAAGTGTAAATCCGTTGAGAATTGTTCGAGCGGGGCGCGCGTATCCGCGGGGCACCTGCTGTATGTACTCGAACGGGATTCCGCCACCTCAGCAGTGTTCCGGGGCATTGCGGCCGCTTTGTAATGAGCAGCTTCCGCGTCCAGCGGCTGCGAGAGGCTGTGAGCAACCAGCCGCTCGCAGCCGCTCCACCGTGTTGTGGCTGAGCGCGCAGCCTCAACGTGGCCATGTACCCAACCCCATAAACGCGCACAGGACCATGCGTGTCTTTGAGTAATCTGTGCACCCAATAAATACACTACTGCAGGAAACAGTCCGCGTCTCCCCTCTCCTCTCGAAGCGCGATTAAACGCCCTAAATAAAGCTCTGATACCTACATTTTGCAATGCATTAAAAGTTCATGTTTGAGCCCAAAAGTAATATGTTGTGAACAAATTAAACAGATTTAGAGCCAGCAAATGGCTGACAATATGCATTTCAGTCTTTTTTGACCAATTCTCATCCCTGTAACAAACAATAGTGTTGTCTGTGTCCACCTCCCTCACTCTGACATGTTTATTACTCTCTTGTAATGCAGACTATTGCATTTTATTTTATTGTTGAAACTGCACATATCCTGATCCTCTACAGTATTTGCTTCCACATACTGTATAAACCAGGAGTCGGCAACCTGCGGCTCCGGAGGCGCATGCGTCTTTTTCCTTCTCTAAGGAAAAAACGTTCTTAACGTTTTTAAATGCTGTAAAATTGTGCATAAGTAATATTCAATTTAAAAATGTCTGTCAACGTGTCTGTCAAACCGGCGTGTGAGCATCATAGACTGTGCGCATTGATCCCAAAGCTAAAAAGAGAAGAGTCGATAATAAGACTGGACTAAGAATGAAAATTAACATTTGCTTTCAGTCAATGAGGAAGGACTGCTTCATGTTTGCGATGTAAT